GACTACGGACACTCTCCAATATAGCTCATTGGGTTGCAAAAGCACACAAACCGCCACGCCCCGATAGAGTCCAGTCTCTTCATAATTGCTAAGCTGTTGTGACCGTGTGTGACTTGTGGGCAGTATGGGTGACTTACACTTGCAAGATGGGACGCAGCCTGAATTGTAAAGTTCGTTCAGTTGTAGCACCCGCTCGGTGTCTATCTGCCATTCCAGCGGAAGGATACACGAGGACGGGGATACTGCCAGGTTGCTCAAGGAGCAGTGGAGATGCTGGGTTTGGGTTCGAATCATGGATCTTCCGGCTCGTAGGCTGTCATCTTGACCACTGAGCTATCTCAAACTCAGTTGTTTCGTCCACAGAGCAGGGTAAACAGTTGGTCGGAGTCCTAAAAATCGAGGTTGTGGGCTTTGTAGAACTGACTCTGTCTGAGACGCAGTGCATTTGCCTCTAGTCGACTTGCAAACGGGACGGCATTTTCATGTTTACTGTCATGTACTTATAAAAGGAATTCATAATCCACAAGAGGGCTAAAAGCAGTGTTTGTGTAGGTAATCGGTATAGGCATTCGATTGAGCTTATTTTTCGCTAGGTTTTCCGTTTACAAAAGCCACTGTCAGAACTCCGGCACCTGGTGACTTACCCATGCTACTGGAGAAGAAAAGGGCATACGTATTCACCTGCGTGCATTAGGGCGACCCTGCACCACCACTATCCTCGAGTATGTTGCCGGATGTGAAAGCTCGCGAACCATCATCTTAGGTTATGAATTAGTAAACCCCAACTTCCACGTATTTTATCCTGTCGAGGAAAAAGCCATACAAGCAATACGGCTCATTCAAACAATGTAGGTACAAAGTAGGTACGAGTCCACTTTTCGAAAATGACCGACTCTGTCCAGTCTTTTGAGACCGTCTCCTTTTCCAATATGCAGGCAAACAGGTCAGAAAATCGGTGTCTGAGAATTTCCTCTCGTCTTTGAAAATGCGGGTGGGAGGTTCTCCTTCGGGCGTAGGGTCCAGGTGAGTGACAACTGGTGACCGTGATAACTTTTGTTTGAAGTATTCGGCCTAACGATCCAGTCACTCTTTTCTAGTCAAGATGGTCACTCCTTTCTGATTCTTGATGGTTTTCTGGGGCCGGCCGCACGGATCAACTCTAATAATCTTCAGACTTTCTCGGCTTTCTGAGCCTCTTTCATTTCCTTGGGCTTCTGAGTCCACCATATCGGCGCGCACGCTCACTTACACTGCTGATGGTACCACGTGATGGCCAATGTGGCGTGATTTTAACTCTATATGTGGGTCCATTTTCGTACGTTGTTTGGGTTACTGTCATGGAGCCCCAGACCTAGACAGCAGGACGATTATGGTCCTCAACCAAAGCCTTTGGCTCAAAGCCTGACCACAATGCGGTCCCCTGGAAATGTTTACAGTACAGGTTGCCAGACATGTTCCAATCCCTAACGCGAAGGACCAGAAGACTGTTCGTTAGACCTCTAGATATCGACCAACCTCGTAGTGTCATTTTAGAAAGCTACCTTTCTATTCGAGTAAGCCCTCTGTCGTTCTTAACCTTTTGAAGTAGTGGGGCACGGGAGACGAGGGTTTATCTTGTCATAAGGCGTGGGAAAACCTTCTCATCCCTGAAGGACGTTAATAGTTAACAGCACACGGATGGTTGACTTTCGGAGTCACTAAGCGGTACAGATGGAATCAACGATGACAGGAGCTGTTATGATATCATTTTTGCTTGCCCAAGCTGATCCCGGTCAAGTTCACTATATAATAAAATCTGCTGACGACATTCCGTTGGCTGATGAGCCTGAGGCAAGCATGTCAATAACAACTGATGTTTTTTTATGGGTTGATGGATCACATGCCCCATCAGAATTTAGAAGGCATTATGTACCTTACAGGGAAGCGAATCCACTGCCTAAATTGTTTACGGGGACTCTGAGACTAGCCAAGTCTGTTTAGAGTTGGACAGCGAATGAGATTTTGGTGAGTACTACTGAACATTCTGAGGTTGACTGCAGTGCTCTGCCAACCGACCTGGAAGAGTAGTGGGGTTGAGAGCTAAATCCATTGGTTAGAAGGCCCTTGTTTGGACAGATTGAGAGGATGGAGGATGGGAAGTCAAGATCCATCGGGTGCTCAGACGAAGAAGATGAATAGGTGCAATATTGGCGATAAATCCTATCGTGAGTTCAGTTGAAAGATTTTTCCGGGACAGCGGAAAAGGTTAAATACCTTAGCGGTCGGTCAGGTACCATCAGCAGCACAGTGAGGTCCGAATCCGCGCGACAAACTGGGAAAAAGCCTCAAAGTAGCGTAAAAACGGTTGGACTTCAACCTGTCGGGTGTCATTGAAGCAGATTTTGAGGATTATCAGATTGTGACGGGATACGATAGACCCACGGCGAACGCTGGGATGGAAGAGACCAAGCGATTCATCACCCATTTTAAGAGGGAGCTGCTGCGGTTGAGTTAGGGGTGGTTACAATTTGTTGTGACGGGGCAGAACTGTTGTTTGGTGGGAGGAAAGGTGGCAAACAGGTTGGTGTTTGGACAGGATGTTTTTCATAAGCTAGGCCTAGTGGGACTGTCACCAGAGAAGACCTAATTAAATAGGGAAATTCGGAGGTAGTGTGGGTGCATTTTATAAGGGAGTGTTTTAAGTAAGCAATTGTTTATTATGGAAGTTTGGTTATTTGCTAGAGCTGGTTTACAGTCCACGAAAAAGGTTGCAACTGTGCGCTTGGTATTCAAATATCGCACATTGATAGCGTTTTGAGTACCTTTGTCTTTTCATGAAAATAGGAGTGAGGAAGCTGGTCTTTGACGAGTTCCTGCATAATTTCCTTAGAGGTGAAACAGTGCTCGTAAATTCTCTCCCTCTGAGGGGGCGAGATGGACCACGTGGTTAGAACGCAAATTTATTAACCGGAAGGTCCATGGTTCGAAACCGACCTCTGCCACTCGACTTCCCCTATCTAGGCTTGGGCAACCTGGCAGTATCCCAGCCCTCGTGCCTCCTTCGTGTGGCATGGCAGCTAGGCACCGAAAGGGTGCTACAGCTGTACGATTATTATTTTGTATTGTCCCTTAAAATGATCGATCAGAAGCGATTCCGCAACGTCTGTCAGTTCAAAAGGATGCAAATTTAGTCTGATCACTTCTTGAGAGACTGTTTCGAAGAATGTACTTGAGGTCTTCTCTTTTGCAAGTTGGTCTCTTCTTGGAGGGGTCACCATTCCGCATGACTTATCTGTGAAACTACGCAGTATTTTCCGACGATTGGCATTCCCAAAGCTAGACAAATAATATTTTGCAACCATGGGTCTAGCTTTGCAAGTTGTTGCGAAACAGAATCTTGGACTAGAATATAGCTTGATGGTGCCGCCACTATTCTCAGTTGTCGAGCACTCAGTATGCCTTGGTTCACCTAACAGATTTAAATGGCTTCGATCCAAGGACAAAAGGTTAAAAAAATTTAGAGAGGTCGCTAGTACAGTTACGACTAGCGTTTGTAAATTGGTGGCTTACTGACAGAATTGCGCTATTTTTTAAACATTAACGGCGAAGGTGGTCTCCATGCGGGTGTGTGTTAGCTTGCAAGTTTGTGTAGATGATGGTTGGAATAATAGCACATCAACTTACACATGTCATTCTTAAATTAACGAGAGTTGAGGCATCTTTTTTGCTTATTCCTGTGGTCATTCGAGCGTAAGCGCCCAAGAAGGACTGCAACCTCCCTCCGAACAAAAACCAATTAGGTCTTTCCCGTGAACAATCTTTGCTGGGTAGACAGTGCTGTATTTCTCTTGGGTCATTTTCAGACGGTTTAGTAGTGGCATCACATTGTGTGGATTGTCCTATATTCCGCGTTGTAGTTGGTTGACGCAACCTTTAACGACACTGCGACTTTTCCAAGTAAGGGAACCCCGATATATCTGGACATATGGCTGGTTGGCACCCAGAATGGATTTGTTTGTCAACCATCTTCGATCCACTGGACAATGTGGTGTAAACTTTTTCGTACTTATAAGTTTCGTAGCTGTGTCATCATCCTAAGAGTCAGCAACATCAGTGTTGACACCGCTGCTTCACTGCCGTGCAACCGCAAATTTTATTTAATCGTATTTAAAGCCTTACTGTGAGCGAGGGGACCTAGTTCTAGTCTGTTTCAAGCATTCTGAGGTGTCTATACCTTGGAGCACCCGGTCGGGTATTCTGACAGCAGGAACGCCAATGACATCGACCAGCCGCCATTTCTCGCTCCCTGTAGTCAAGCACAGGGAGGTCACAAGTACCCCATCCTGGAAGGGTACCACACCAATCTTCATTCTTGTGGTAATTTACACGTTGTCCACCACGCAGTTCACGTCATTTTAAAGAAAGCACGGCGAAAGACATTGGTCTCGGTAGGCGGTGTTTCAGCGTGGGTAGTAAATGACAGAGCCATGGAGCTGGCTTTAAGGTACATGCCACACAACCAGATACCCTTTTTCCAATTGCCTGGTTACAAATTCGTCGACGTCATCTGACGCCAGCAACATCTCTCAGGCATCGCTGTTCAAAAACCTGGAGACTTTTCGCGTCATCTGACTACAGAAGGCCCGTTTCCTCAAGATCTTGGTGTTCAAGTAGTCTGTGGCGAAAACTTTGTCGCTCTAGAATATGCAAGCAACACCGTTCTCGTCTTCGACGAGAAGGGGAAGGCGCAAGTGTTTTCAGACGAACTGACTAAAGTCTTTTGGTATGCACTTCGCACCCGCAAAATGTAAGGTCATGCTCCAGGACATGCAGTCAATGGACATGCCACTTACAATCCACGGAGAGGAACTTGAAATTCTGAAGCGTTTCACGTATCTTGGATGTATTAGTTCTGATTCTAGTGTCACAGATGAAATCGACGCACGAATCGTTAATTTAAGACACGTATGACATCAAATCGGTATATCCCTGAATCTCAAAGGGCGTGTGTATCAACTACCATGTGGGCTGTTTTGCTGTATGGCTGTGAAATTTGGCGTGTTCGAGCAGCGGAACTGAGACGTCTTCAGGTGTTCGACAATCGTTGTCTCGAAACCATAGCTCATGTGGGTTAGTGTCGGCGGGTCCTTAACGAGAAAATTAAAAAGCGAGTTTTCGGTCATGCAACAGAAATTTCCATTAAAGAACGTGTTCAGCATTAGAAGTTGCGTTGGTTAGGCCATGTATTGCGTATGCCTGACCATCGTTTGCCGAATAGAGTGCTATTTTCCGTGCCTAGTTCAAAGTGGCGGAAGCAGAGTGTTAGGTGAAATTCCACGCCGATGCGGCTTTGCGCTCATAGTTGGGCACTGCTATATCCGGTAAGCCTATCCCGCGCAACACTGGCCAACATTTCGGGCCGCTTACTTGTCCGTTAACAAGTTGAGATGCGATTGATCGAAGCCTGAACCCAACAGCCGGTCGCAAGTCAGGATCCGTTGTATAAGGGTTTTCGACCCGATTTTTCGGCATTAATATGCGTTGTGCACATTTGGTGGTTGTTTTTGACGGTAATCTTAGCTTGAGAGTGGAAGTTCACACAGAACTAAGCTGACAAAAATACCGTTACTACACAGAGAGGTTACCAACCCTCAACTTGGCAGAGGGGTGTGAAAAAGATTACGACACGTTTGGGTACTGTCGCTACCCTCGCCTTCCAGGATGGGGACCTTGTGACTTCGTGCAGTTGTGATCTTGAAACAGTATCCAACGTTGATTTGGGCGAGCCACATGACTAGTTATGACTAATTGTCTTGCTATTGATGACGCGGAGTTTTCGGTCTCGTCTCCGTGTGCACATTCGGATCAGCTTGTGCGGCTCTCGGACGATCACAGCGATGATACCGGTAAAGGTGCCTTAACACATAAATAAAGTGTATCCAGTCTTTTCATACGTTTTTGTACGGTCTCGCTGTTATATCCAAAACAGGGCGGAACACACCGTGCAGTCCAGCACTATCTTCGGAACACATCAAGCAAGAGTGAGGAGCTTCTGGACAAAAATTAACACCAAATTGACGCGTAGGGATTCTCCAAACATCGGAATAATCGGACCAACAACAGTCCAGCGTTCCTCTTCGACCTCGAGAACCATCATCTGAGACTTAAAGGCCGTTATGAAGGCAGCTACGGGCACACTGCAAGGGTCTTTTGCTCTTGACTGTATATCATTTAACCGCTAACTTTTTTACTGGTGTGTCGCCCTACTGTTAGTGATTGATGCTGGTGAGTACTAGCAGTTCCTTTGGAGTCACTGGATTGAGTTGCGAATTCGAAGCTTGTTTCGGGAACAGTATGAGTTGACTACGATGGGTACGTCCACAATGAACTGTTTTTTTTCAGTAGGTTGGGATTTGGGTACGTCCACAATGAACTGTTTTTTTTCAGTAAGGTTGGGATTGAAGGCTGAGTCGAAATATTTTTCGTCCGAGGGGATTCCTGGAGTGGTTATTTTGAATTGTTTTCCACTTGCTTCTCTAATTACCATTGCCTAATCGTCCATTTGTCTCTCCTTTAGGCTCGTGAATTATTGTTTGTCGCCTCGCTGTTTATCGTTCGGACTGTCTTGGATGTCTGATAAGGTTTGTCCGTCACTTTTAGTGTCGTTCAAGTTAGTAGTCATCGAGTTACGTCCTCAACCTACGGGGCCTACCCTATTCTACTAAGGAGGCAGAGGTAGCATCGTTTTTCACAGGTACGCTGTAATCTATGTATTCGGTAAGCACAATCGTTGTAGGTGTCAACTTAAGGGAGATTCATCTGCTATATACTCCTGATGGTTTGCTTCAAGGAGAGGCTTATATCGTGGTGGGAAGTGAAAACGATTTACAGTCCGCTCTACTGCGTAATGGAGGTGTTATTGGCGACAGGTTCATCGAAAGCAAGTTGATAATTTGCTGATTGTTGTTTCGCTCGTAGTTCGACGGTCGTCCTTGGAACAAATGAATTGGTATCTGAATCGAAGACCTAAGCCAGATGGGACTTTGCGACTGTTCGGGTTACCTTTTAGTGTAACAAAAGCGCAGATTCAAGCATTCTTCGAAGGTTGGCTGGATGTTGTTTTCACCCGAAACCTTTGGTATCATTTTTGATCTTTCAGGCTTCGAAATTGTTAAGGATGGCATCGGTCTTTTAACAGACCACCATGGTCGACCTACAGGAGAGGCATTCGTGCAGTTTGTATCTCCTGAAGTCGCTAGACTTGCCGCCGGGAAGCACAAACATCTGATCGATGGAAGGTTTGTTTTCCACACGTTCCATAGGCCATAACAAAACCTCTACCATGAATTGTTACTGATTAACTTGTGTTTTTCTGCGGAATTTGTACGATATCTTCAAGCGCTGCCTTATACCCCGCATGTCCTATTAGCAATTTTTTTCTCGGTACGTAGTGAGAGTTATGCATTTTATTGGAGCCCGGTAAAGTCTGTATGGGGTACCTGCTTATCTTAAACTGTTTTTGTACTGAATCAAAGGAATCCAGTCGCATGGGCTCAGTTGAACATGAAATAGCTAAGCAGGTGAGGCGCGAGGCTACTAACTGGAGGGTCTGCTGTTTGAATCTAACCCTGTATTATTGGTCGCTGCCGTTTAGGCTTGGTCAATCTGACACTATCTTTTTTAGCGTTGCATAACAAGCGTAGTAAACAATTATTATTATCTTACTACTATTATTGTCATTATTACCACTGCCTAGATGTCGCTCATGAAATCTCGATTGAATTCCACTTGTTTCGAAGGTGTCCAACTTGTGAAGTGAGGTTTAACACGTTGCGCGCCTGCGAAGCATTAGTTTTTCTGTCAGACCATAAAATTCATTTTGGGATATTCTAGTAAAATATCGGGGTACCTTAACGGGTCCACTCGCTGCAAGCACATAAAACATTTGGCTAGCGCACCTTTGTCCACAGATTTCGTTGCGTATACTCCAACCAAAATCATGTAATCCCTCCGCAGATATGTGGAAATTTCCTTCAGCACTCTAAGGGCTGCAAATCAAGCTATTGAGCGACAGATGTATATCAACATGGGAAGTGAGTTTTGCTTATGAACTGTGTCGGTTCTCTGTGGCGTGTTACTTCCATTCAACATATGCATTCCAGGAACTATAGTATGCTCATATCCTAGTCGTTTTTGTATTTTGTCGAGACGATCTGCAGTTCGGTTGTAACTTCAGCAGCTTTCTGTAAGGTACCACCAAATTTTTCTTGAGATTCCAGGCTTTGCTTTATTAGCGTGATTCATATGACTCCCATTAGAAGGTATAAACAACGCAGACTTTTGCAATACCCGACCTGTGTCACGGTATCCGTCATACGCTAAGAACTGTTGGTGAAGTGTTAATGTCGCTATATGCACGTAGTTCGGAGAAGCTCATGCAAAGACAATTCCTATAGGCAGACGTTACATCAGGCCATCGTACGTTAAAAACAATTTCACCACTTGGCGGATGGTGGAGGATGGATGGATAGAGGTGCGAAGAATGGCCGGTAGGATACAAAACTCAGAATGCCTCCAAGATGTTACTATTGTTAACACATGTCAGGATTCCTCGTATTTACTTTTGGTAGTAATCGGAGTTCCTATCGAAAGCATACTCTGCTCAAATCAATATTGGACATATGTTTCACAGGTGTGATCTCAAGGAATTCCGAGAGAAAGGTGGACGAACCTTAGGTCCATTGGGATCCAGTGCATGTATCAGCTAACTGCTGGGTAATATGACAGGTAAAGTCTGAAGGCCCAAAAAGATTACTAACTACTAACAAACAGAGTGCATTAAATAGATCAGCGGGAGTACTATACAAAATAATACTCAGATGTTTGAAAGTGAAACATTATCGCTGCGAGTTGGGGACCCGCCAAAAAGTTGTTTGGACGCTCAGCAGAAAGGTGTGGTCCTCTCAATAATATACTGATCACTCCTGAAACCGGCTCCAATTTTTATAATGATTCAACGTTATTGTTCCCACAGAGACCATTCTATGGTAAGTGGTGCGGGGTTTATCCATTCTAATTGCTTTTCATTTCATCACCATTTAAGGCTTACCCATAATGGGGCAGATGTGGTGTCCTTTGATTTACTCTGGGCGTTTCAGGAGTTCTTTGGCCAGAACCCATATTAACTATATAGAATGTGGCATTTCGTTGGGCATTTTCCCCATGGTTCTGTCAATGTGATTTTGCTCAGTGTGCTTGTGACCCTAGAACCGTACGGAAGTAATCGTGCGCTAGCGTAGAGGTATGACAGCATGCTTGCTAGCAGTTGATAAGAATGTTGGTGCTTCATTAGTGTAGTATTGCAGCCAGGCACCGAAAAGGTATTACAGCTGAACGATTATTATTGTTACTATTATTACTATTGTTATTACCATTATAGGTAAGATGTTTACCGCTTTGTGTGGTCCAGTGCTGTTCTTAGGACTCATCGTCATCATCATCAACAGCATGTCATTAGTGTTCAACATCGATGTTTCACTGCCGTACAACCATGATTTATTTGAAAGCCTTATTGTGAAGAAGAGTAAAGGTGAACGGGGAAGGGACTTAGTGCCAGCTTACCACAATCATTCCGAGGTGCCTATACCTCGAGACACTCACTCAGGCGATCTGGATAGAAACTGACAACAAGAATGTCACTGACATCGGTTGGCAGCCATATCTTGTAGTGTTTCCAACCGGACGCAGTGAGGATCGCGCGGTCCCCATCCCGGAAGGCGAGTAGCACCGACATTACCCAAACGTTTCGTGATTTCCTTCATACCCCTCTGCCAGGTCAAGGGTTGGCCACCTCTCTGCTTTTGCCACTGAATTGGGCATGGAAAACAGGACTCTCTTCGGCAAACGATGGTCAGGCACATGCAATATATGGCCTAACCAACGCAACAGGACACGTTCCTCAATGGAAATTCCTGTTGCATAACCGAAAACTCGCCTTCTAACTGCCTCGTTACGGATTCGCCCACACCAACTCACACGAGCTATGGTTATGAGACAACGATTGTCGAACACCTGAAAACGTCTCAGTTCCGCTGCTCGAACAGGCCAAGTCTCACAGCCATACAACAAAACAGCCCGTACTGTAGCTTGATACACACGTCCCTTCAGATTCAGAGATAAACCATTCTGACGCCATAGGTGTCTCAAGTTAGCCTTGCAGATTCGTGCATTCACACTACAGTCAGATGTAGAGGAATCTGTCAAATGTCACCATAGTTCAGACTCCACACCGTTGAAATGTGGAACAATTGTTCACTAACCAGTCAGATGGACCCATTAATGGACCGCCTGACCTCATTACGAATGCTTATTCATACCTTCTGAAATCACCAGCTTTCCTGTAACGATCCTCGATCATGTTGAACGCATAACTCAACTAACTATGACTAGCTATTTCACCTGAGGAAGTAGACAACTGTGCATCACTTTCATCACTTTAATTCAATCACCTGTTTGACTTTTTGAGAGCCATCTGATTCCTAAAAAATGTCCACATGTAGGACAAGATTACAGTAGCACTCTTCCTAGTTAATCAGCTAAAATGGATGCGTGGAACTCCTGAACATCGTACATCCACCCTGGAGTTAATTATCTGTACAGGAGTCAATTGATGTCATCCGATGGCATTTCACGTTTTTTGTTTCGTGCTGTCTTTTATAGGACCCGGTTGTTCCGTAGACGATAGCAAAAATATTTTATGGGAGAAATATCTTATTCTTTTGATAGCCATATGTTTATCCCCGTCAGCATAATCTTGTACAGCAACACTTCATAGGAACATCAGTGTTTTGTTCCTGAAAAACTGTCTCAGCTTACTTAGGAATACGATGAGGTCGTCCTGTGTTGCTGTGAGATCACCAATTCTGTTTCATTAGTCAGAATAGCTTTTATCGATCACCAATTCCGTTCCATTAGTCAAAATAGCTTTTATCGAGTTTGTGATTGCGGTTCGGTTGTTGAAAACTCGTTCACGTCTTTCCTGTTGTCAGTGGTCCCACCTGACCCAAAGTCGTCGACACGTACGTGGACGAATCCTTACTGGATGAAACGTCCTTTGCCAAGTGGAAATCCTTCCTCCTCCCCACAGACCAGTCCGCAATTCCCAAGTGGGTTTTTTATATGTTCTCACTATTCACACTTGTGCGTGTCTTGCAAATCAGAGTTTATCAGAATAAACGAGTAACAGCTATTCGAAGAATAACAGCGAACTTGCTGCCGAATATAACATTCGCAAATAGAAATGCTCGTAGGTGCAGAGCCTTGTGCAGTAATCGCTAACCACCAATGTAGGTTTGTTATTTTCCCTTCAGAAATCTAGCTAATGGAAGCCTACAGCAATACTGTTAACGAAGTCCAAAGCGTTTAATTGGTTGGCTCATTGCGGACACAACTGTTGCCTCTTTTCCTTCGTGCACACGAATAGTGACTGTTGGTTGCAATGGCATGCGAAAACGCCGCAGCTTGAGTCATACACTCACGCCGGCCACTTGAATGAAGGACTAACCGAAATGAAAGCTGAGGAAGATGGCTAGACTATGACGATTCTGGTGTGGTTCATACGATAGATAGGACAACTTTCGCTTCCTCACAACAACTGTACGACCGGTTTGCTTCAAAAGGACAGTAGTAGATTTGAGGCCCTTTCAGATTTGGGACTCTTCTGATAGGTCGACAGAATTCGAACTCCGTTCTCCTGACCCGGGAACTCAAAATGTTTGACCATTTCTCCATCAACAGTTACTGGGTATCTCCGAACTGACGCAACATGATGTTCTTAACCTCGTGCTCCCTATTGGATTTCAGCTAACCGAGTTTATAAGGTCGTACAGGCGCCCTATGTATTAACGATTCTTGCTCGAAGGTGAGGTGGTCTTTACTAGAGACTAAGTGACAAAAAGGAAGTGCCCTCAATTCAGTGTCCACCCACAGTCACTCTATTGGGAAAGTGGCCCTTGCTATTGCGGCACAGTGTTGTGAAGCCGTCAGTCATTACTCAATCCACTTGCTCCGAGCTGTTGCAAGATACCGTCAAGACCAACTAGGACGAGTCTGTAATATTTATAGTGTTCTCAGCGGTTGTGGCGATCGCAAGCTTATCAGCTTGGTCCCTTTGTGACATCACGAGAAACCACCTGATTCAAAAGTGGGATTCCGGTTGGTCAGTGATATTTGGACCACGTATGCACACTCACTCAAGTGCTAGACCAATGGCCTATACTTAGGCGTTCCTTGACTCCAATGATGCGCTTGATCGGTGCGCCTTTCTGAAATTACTCGAAAATCAGGGTATATTGAAGATGTGTGATTATCGTACATTCTTTGCCTTTACTGACTTTCTGTCCATGTGAAGGTACGACGAACCCAATTTTGATCAGTGGTAGCGTACATTACTTGATATGATGACATTGTACACTTGCCTACGCCACCTGTGAGCACATTGACCTCCACGTGTTCTGTCCCTTCACGGCCTCCAACACCCATACCCTCTCTGACGAAGGCCACGTCTGACACTAGTATGATAGCGTGTGTTGTGTATATTGTGTCATTGGCCTGCTCACCCATACGCGTTCGTTCTCCGTCTGCTGGGCCTTCTCTGACCTGTCCTGTCGGAACGTCCGTGCGATCGCACTGCTAATCAGAATCACGAAATTTGCCTCGGAAGCGACGACAATCACCCACGCCTATGAGCCAGCATTCTGCTCAGCGCTATCTAGCGTGCGAATGTAAGCCAGGTTCATATCACAGTTAAGGTGGCTGAGTTCGTTCAATGGAAGTTGAAGTTGTTTTGTTATTTTTTACTAGTGTATTGTCCAGCTTTCCAGCCCAGAAAATGTTCCTTGATGCTGTTTTACTGGGATATGGACCATCTATCTTTTTAGTGAAGTGCACTTTGTAGGGCTATAGGGAGGTAGCACGTGCGAACTCCCGCCCACAGTGCTTTTTGTTTTCAGTGTTTGTCAGTTTACAGAAGATCAGCGTGTTGAACTTGTTCTCATCGCATGTGTGTTACTCGTCCTTCTCTTCTTAATGGTATCCAGTCTAGCTTTTGGTCCGTTCTATGAGCGGAGCAGTTTGGCTGCAACCGAAATTCCAAGGTTACCAGAAAGACGAACCGCCATCCGTACAAATTGAACAACGGCATATTTTTCACTAGGTACCTGCTCTCCTACTCCGTGTATCAGGTCAGCGAGTGCTAACCACAAATCACTTGGTTGCGTATTTTGATAGACGCGATTGTGAAATGGCTGCATGCTCCTCTACTGTCTTCCAGATACTTCATTCACCTCCTCATTCGGACAAAGCCAGCTGGGTTGTCGTCCCTTCTTTTCGGCGATACTCGAAGCTGCCGGTTTGGCGTACTGTGCTCCAGTGGTAGAACAAAACTGGGTGTGTCAGTATCCGGCACCGGATGTAAACGGTTGCAATGTAACATATACCATGCCGACTTTCGATAGCCAGAGTTCAACAGGAGCTAGTCGGACGCAGCGACACATACGTATGCGCGGCCTGCCATTTGCGGCTACCGTAAATGATATATTGGACTTTTTCCGACCGATCCAGCCGCTAACCGTCACTATGAGAGCTCACAAGGTAAGGTGATCAATAATGTTCAGAAACGTTTTGTCGGTCAACATAAACACAGTGGTTTCTCCGAAGAAAAACGGCGTTGCGGCCTCCCTTTGATGTGCTAAAAAAACGTCCAGCTCTAGCACCCTTTCGGTGCCTAGCTGCCATGCCACACGAATGAGGCACGAGGGCTGGGATACTGTCAGGTCGCCCAAGCCTAGACAGGGGAAGTCGAGAGGCAAAGGTCGGGTTCGAACCATGGACCTTCCGGTCAGTAAATTCGCGCTCTAACCACTTGGTCCATCTGATGTGGTAGGAGGTGGCAAACTGCACAAAGGTGTAGGAGCATTCAAAATTGATTTTTGACAGTATATTCAACAGTGTCTGATTGCGCATGCACTCAGTGCAACTCTTAGAGATATTCTTCGATTTTCAACAGAATCACTCGTCGTTCCAAAGTGAGCCTCTTGAGTCACCCAGAAGATTAAATGGTGCTTGTTAACTTCAATTCCAGGTTGTTTCGATTGGGGCGAGATGGCCCAAGGTGGTTAGAGCGCGAATCTACTGACCGGAAGGTCCGTGGTTCGAATCCGATCTCTGCCACTCAAGTTCCCCTGTCTAGGCCTGGGCGACCTGGCAGTGTCCCAGCCCTCGTGCTTCCTCCGGGTGGCATGGCAGCTAGGCACCGGAAGGGTGTTACAACTGAACGATTTTTATTTGTTTCGATTGGATCTGAACTTTCATACGTAACCTAATTCACATGAGCTAACCCGAAAGTTGCAAAATCTCACAAATGTCCATAGAATGATTGGCGGTCGAGACCAGACTGGTGTTAGTCACATTTTTCCAACTGGACGTTGATGGTACAGTAACTAATAGATGTCCGTGACATCTGCCTCGACTTGGGGGGCATCGCTCCTCGGAATCCTTTAGAGGTGATTCTACAATGACCACCTATCGTCTGACGACTAATCTCGAACTCGAAAGGCTAAGAAGTTGGTCTTGTCAAAGAGACCTATGGCTTCCTGTTGTCTGCTGCAACCTGGGGGCAAGTCGCCGACTGATCACAACGGGTTTCTTCCTTCGTGTTTTTGACCATCGTCTAACTAGGTTAGTCAGGTTTCAGACAGTTTGAAAGTCGTTTTTTGCCCCAGAACAGATGTTAAGGTGCGAAGCAGTTGCGGAAGGTATTTGGTGCCACAAACTGCAAGGGACCGGTAATGAATGTTGAGCATGTCTGTCAAACGGTCAGGAGACTGTTCAGATAACCGGAGAAATTCCATTCATTCCTCTCGAGCCTCACGTATCCATACATCTGCACTTCATAGTCTGAGACTGAGTCTCCCGTAGTAATATCTACTGTCGCCTTAAGAATGTGGAGCCCCGGTACACGTAGTGGAGTCGAAAAAACGGCTTGAAGATCAGCTCGAACCGCCGACTTATAGTGGCAAGAGGGACTTCGCATTTTCAGTGTTATCCAAATCCCTTTACATTCGGTAAATACAGCCTTCTGGAGTACGCGAATTTCGTTTTGGTTGCCCAAAGTGAAAACTGGTGTTAACACCTTTTGTGAATGCACTACGAGTAGTGAGGTGGACTCAGTGTTGCACGCCCTAGCCAGCGTCTTCATATACATGCCGGTTGCTGGACAGACAAGGTATGTTCTGAAGAGCAGCTTACACAGCTGACGGGTCACCTTCACTTATCAGTTGTGCGACCTCTTGTCTCCGTTTTCAGCCTTAATTCGATGTTCTGGTGCGTGACATCGTTCAGCTGTAACACCCCTCCGGTGCATAGTTGCCATGCTACCCGAAGGAAGCGAGGGCTGGGATACTGCCAGGTTGCCCAAGTCTAGAAAGAAGTCGACAGGCATGGGTCGGGTTCGGACCACGGACCTTCCGGTCAGTAAATTCGCGCTCTAACCACTTGAGCTATCTCGCCCCGCGTGCGACATGGAAATCCCCAATTTGTTACTTTCACTCGGTGGGGAAGTCGGTTCTCAGCTTCGGTCCATTTGTTGCACACAACAATGCCTGTTCATGCAAAAGTGCACGCACCCGATGTATGTTCATGTCCAAAATGGCGCACTCGGGCTCTTAGCCGTGTCGTCAGCTGCACTACCTATCCAGATTCTGTAGGGACGGGTTCTATGCACTGTCCAAGACCACCGACTTCAACTTCCCTATAAACTATGTCTACTCTCCAAAGACGATGCATGCTTTGAAGACTTACAACTGAGGTCATTCGCAAGCATTATTTCTTTCGTTCTCCATCAGAACGGAAAACCGAACGGGATGGCGGATGTCTACTTTGCTACCGTAGAGGATACCAGGGAAGCAATGAAGCGTCATAAGGCTCCAATGGGTTTTCGGTACATAGAGTTGTTCTCCTCCGTACACGAATCTTGACCAAGTAAGTTCCGTCATAAAGTTGCTATTCCACTTTCCATAGCTGAACTACGATCGTGTCCATAAACCACTCGCTGAAATCATTGTAGTGTTGAGTGACTTGTGGACTGTGCTAAAGTTCGTATCCAGATCATATGAACTTGGTTGCGATTTAGGCCATCAACAAAACTTAATGGTTGACTGCCAATAAAACTAGTCTGAGCCAACTGTATCTGTCTGAAAGAAAGCGCTTCAAATTTGGGGCCAAACCCAATTTCTAAGGAGCTATAGTTAGTCGCACCAAACGAACTTGCATGGTATGTTTATTCTTCTGACTAGATTTGGACAAATTCGTCAACACAAAACATGTCTCGTCGGATCATGAAATAAATTTCTATGCACACAGCAGTTTGCAGAGGAAACTGACTAGCAAATTTTGTGCAGATCAAGAGACTTTGAGGAATTTAACCTGCTTGACGGCCTAACATAAATTTGGAGTCGTAGTCATTTCTTGTGAGGTTCCCACAAAGAACATATGTAGGCCATGCTTCTCCCACCAATAAACCCATCTGTGGAAATAGGCAGGAAAACGCTCCGCAAGGATCACCCAACCCGTGTAAGAAAAAAGATCCTGTGAGTCATCACACACCTGATGATTCTGCTACTCCCAATGTACCAACAATCCTTCCCATATTCCCTCATCTTCGACTAGGCGTATTTCCTATCCAATGTCTGTAAACATTTATGAGCAAGGTGCACTGTATGGTGCAATTTCTAGTTGGCGCAAACCACCGCTACCCATAAATAGATTGTATATGCCTGAAGTTCACAGAAAAAATTTCCTGTTTTACGTACTGTGTGGATTTGTTGATGGCACCAGTGTAAGCAGTTTCTCAGTATTCCAATCGATCCACCAAACTCCTCAGGCTCGATAAGTTTTTGAAGCTTTATACATATTATATCAACTTTTAGCTTAAAAGAAGGACAGGCTAGTAGTTCCGTTGTTTCCAAGTTATTGCTCCGTCCACACGCATTGCTTCATTACCTGTTTTCCCCTTCCCTTTCATTACGCGAACAGCCCGACCAACTGCGTGCAGTTACCCCAATACGAACACAAACGTACTTCGTTATTTAACAATGCCCGCACTTTGTATATTCTGTTTATGTACAAATCATTTCTTCTGATCTGATAAGTCCTTTCTGAACGACTGTAGAGCGGATTTGAAGGCCAATTTGATATGTACAAAGCAGTCACGTAGGCACAGTAGTCCTTCACGTAAAGTATCATGGGCTGAGCCGTCTGAAATTGAGAAAGTGTCAGCGAGATATCATTAATATTGAGGAGCGAGTCGTGTATCGAAGCCAAGAAAGTAACCGAAGAAAACTTCTTACAGCCTTGATTAGTAATCAATATCCCACAGCCGACTTACTCAAAAAAACTAGAAATAGTCCTCAGAAGGAAGTCTCCTAAATCTGTTTGATCCAAACTACGAGCAGGCACAATTGACGAAATGTTGACATTTCGTCAGTTATGAGCCTGCGACATAGATTCATGTGTTTGGCCCATGGAAACAATAAAAACATGCGGACACATTTAAAGCGGTGAGAGATGATAGTCCAAGATTTGCTCCATGGTAGTCAACACCATTTGAGCCCATAAAACTGGGCGTTTTAACATGACCAGTATTGTCTCACTGAAAACGAACGTGCGGAGTCTAGTTACGTTAAGGCCTTACAATCGGTGATGCTGGGTTTCGGCCTGTAGGCTGATAACTAGGTGATTGCTGTTACGCCACGCTTGTCAGGCACTTTGGTAGGTGCTCAGTCATTCACTGAGATTTATAGCGATCTTTTCGGCCGGTGTAAGCATCACCCGAACTGCAGACAATGTGGACTGCAGGTTCATATCGATGCTGGCTGGACTGAAGTCCCAGAAAGGCTGTTTCTGACAAACGCCTGAAAACGTGGGATCACCTTTCCGTGGTACTTCCAACAAAATTTTCTATTCGACGATGATGGCCGCGTTCGTGTTGGCGTTTTGCAAGCTATACACTCGAACAAGACGTTCCGGGTAATCATGCTCTGGTAGAGTTCGTTTCGAGGACTCCTCTGTGTGTAATGCGTCAGGAGTGCAAATGCTGGCTGACCTGTGGAATATTACCCTGCCTGGGCCGCATCTAAAGGCCACTTGGATACTGAATGCACTGGCCACTCTAGGTTGCTTTACGATGCGAGTGCATTGTTCCGACCTCCAAAAAGTCTACACTTGTTGGATCATTTTCCTACCAAACAGTTAAATTGGAGTGAATAATAGTGAAGAGAGAGGAAACAAACTAGAATGTGCTCCAGTGGTAAAAGTGAGGATATCACTAACATAGTGTTTGCAAAATCCTGCAATATTACCACGTACCCCATTGAGGAGTGCGTCAGGATGTAGGGCCGTGGTAATCCTGTTTGTTAACTTGCCGACAGATGATGCTTTCAAAGTCAAAACAAACGTCCTGTTTGCAGGACAAAACCTCATAGAACAATTGGGACATCTGTTGATGTTTTGGCTGGATAAAGCAGGCTGGTCTCGGGCCAAACTTGTGGGCACATCAACTGTGCCGAACCAGGACGCCCTCTGCCGTATATATCTGCACCTATGACGCGTCCACCACCATTCGCCCTTTTAAATCCTGTTTGTGTATACTGCCTCACGATAAAATTTTGCATTATAGTGAATATTGTGCACTGAAATGTGCACCAATATATGTATCCGTGAGATTTGTTTTTCCCCAAAGCATAAGCCACAACAGCACGTGTTACACCGGGGGGGGGCATACTCCAACTTTTACCAACGAGTGTCCCCAGGGTAACGCGCATACATGCATACGCCGGTGGCGTGATCAAAAGAAACCAGTCTGATATTTCCACAAGTTGACCTGGAACTAACCTGCTGTGTCTGGCTCAAGTAGCTAGAATCCAGGGTCCACCAAAGGTCACAAACCCGGTGTGCAACACTGACCATGCAGGATTCCCCCTATCACAATTAGCGTGGTGTTAGGTCAGCTGTTTTCGCAATACGTACGACATACGTGGTTTGGTTTGAATGGGATATGCTCACAAGCGCTCGTTGGGTTCATAACGCGCTATTCTACACAGCCCCCCTCAGCTATACCAGAAGTAACCATCAGTCTTAGTGTGTCCATGGATTATGAGTACAGTGGATAGTTCCACAGGACTAATGAATGCATCCGTTCGTGGATGACAGTGGGCTGTGCTCCACTGCCAATAAACAGCTTTCATCAGCAAGTTTGCACCACTTACTTTTCACCTGAACGTCGAAGTGAATCTTGTCTTCCAAAGGGTGTGGCACACAATAGCCGCAAAAGGTCGCTTTGGTGCTGTAAGGACAGAAGTAAAGCAAAGTCATAGTGGGACTAACTAGTAACACAGTTCGAGTAAACCATTTCAGCCTATTATTCCGGTCTGTCTCCAAAGGCCTAGTAGTCCAGACGGCGCGGCAAGACGAACAAAACCAAAACTGGCTCATAGTTTAAAAATTACAGTACCACATGTTCTATGGTCACATAAGAGCGGGATCGTTCGACAGAGGAAGCACCACGCAGTGAGTCTTCTCAGAATACATCCGCAACAACGTCACTTCTACTTCCATACGGGCCCTACTGTTTCACTGAAGCTAAGGTCGTTAGCTGTGCAAAACAAAACAGCTCGTCGACACCTTGTAACATTCCGGCAGTTATTTTGTCGAAAGGATGCATTCTGGCTTTTCCGCTGGAAAAGCGAAAATCGAAATCGACCAACCAGCTGCCACGCCACGCGAAGGCTGAAATAGTTCCCGGATGCCCAAGCCTAGACAGAAGTCGACAGGCAAAGGTCCGCTCTGAACCACGGACCTTCCAGTCAGTAAATTCCCGCCTTAAACACTGAATCATTTCGCCCCCTCCCTATCAAAAAGGTAATTTGTGTGTATAAAAATTCACACAGCCACCAGTGGTAAGTACTAAATAGATGGCGAGGTGAGTCAAAAATCGTCCAGGGCTGAAGTTTTACTCTGTAGGAAGTGAACTATAGGAGAATACACGCACAACATGCCTTACAGGTTCAGGTCCACCCGGCTTGAAAGCTGTTCCGACCCCCATGCTAGGGTTACATTTTAACAGTGCGACGAGGTGAGCCCTAAATAGTGCTGATGTCTCAGTGACTTCCGTGATATGCCTCCCAGCGGATCCGGGATGCTTAATATGCTAAATCCAGTTGAAGATGTCCCCGGGAAGTATCAAGGCAAAACAGGGCTTTCTTTGCTTGGATATCGTGTAATGCGCAGCGGTACTCAACCAACAATGCGAGGTCGAACCGGCTTTGTCAGCCGAAGTAAAGTGGCAAAACATGATTGAGAGTTGCCACCCCATTCCAGGGGGAAACACGAACGCATTTCGAGGCGGTGGGTGTCATTTACATATGGGCATGAGTGTAGCGACACTAGTGCTGCAGTTATGATGACGACATGACTGACATGATTTCTAGTAGTAGTAGTAGTAGTCTAAGTAGTCTGTTACTTAGGTAGAAAAAGGAACATACCTGTGTAAGATGCAATACCGAAGAGCCAAGCCGAGAGTGTGATCCTCGCCGTGGAAAGTGTACGTGACGCGCCGCTTGTCACGAGACATATGAGCCACTTCAAGTCCAACATCACGATCATTCAAGCGACTATGGAAGCTTCCAGTTTCCAACTACAAAGGGGTGGCGTAGGGAAGCTGGATGTCGAAGGGGTGAAGAAGCATTTTTCTAANGTAGTCTAAGTAGTCTGTTACTTAGGTAGAAAAAGGAACATACCTGTGTAAGATGCAATACCGAAGAGCCAAGCCGAGAGTGTGATCCTCGCCGTGGAAAGTGTACGTGACGCGCCGCTTGTCACGAGACATATGAGCCACTTCAAGTCCAACATCACGATCATTCAAGCGACTATGGAAGCTTCCAGTTTCCAACTACAAAGGGGTGGTGTAGGGAAGCTGGATGTCGAAGTGGTGAAGAAGCATTTTTCTAAGGAACCAATAATTCAGACAGTTCGGGTGTTCAGTAATTTATCTTGCTGATCGGCCGTTGGTGGCCAAACTGCCCAGTCCTTAACTGTTAGCTGGAGGACTGCGAGTTCGAATCACTCTGGAGGTTCGTGATGTGTCTGCTGATGTACAATGATTTTCAACTGTTCGGCATAGATAAGCTTCACCAGCACGATGAAACCTCGATTGCAATTCCCAAATCTCGTACTGCCAACATTTTAGAAACCTCGATACTTCGTCTTCTGTGAATCGCCTCTCGATAAGCTCATTAATAAGATCAATTGTTCGGGACTATCCAGAGAGTGGACGTCCATGAGGTAAAGGTAGAGTCCAAGCCTAAGCAGTATATAAGGCAGCCTGTAATGTGGAGGTCTGTGTGTTCTTTAAATCCCATTCGAGATCAAAGTCCACTGAGATCTGACTACTTTGCACGGATATTTCACCGGAAGAATACGGTTTTTCGGTACGTGTCCAGCTAACTTCAACAGTCAAGGCGAAAAATTGCAGTATAAAACTTGGCTGAAAGAGCTGAGGCACATCGCTATCAAGAACAGTACGCCGAGGTTCTCTTGAGACGACAAACCCAGATAAGACGAAACATCCTAGTACATGACAATGATCCCAGACACTTTCGCGTTCAAAATGTCGAAATCATGCTTGATCCTCTCGGACTTGCGTCTCGAGTGAAGAGGTCAAACGTCGCAGTATCAAGGAAGGTAGTGGAATAGGGCTTACATCCTTGTGGTTGAAACAGTCGCTTCGTTTTAGGTAAAGATACAATACTTGGCTGGCTCGATTTTGTCTCAGCGTATCCCTGTTCCCAAATTAGTTAGAACAAACCGACCAAACAAAATACGTCTGGATACCATTAGGAGTTCATCTGATCCAGCGTTTCAAGGACGAGAAGGACATTAATGCTTCGTAACCGATGTGAAGGTCTACGCTCATCAAATTTGACTTGATTTTAACAGGTCAAATGAAAAACGTTGGTAACGGGGTAGACGGTCAACTGAACTGTCGTTGAAAATAGTAAACTCAGCCGGTTAAGACGCTCGTCATTAAAAATTTCACCAAGAGCCGGTCCTGCTTAGTGTGTCAATTCTCGTAAATTTCCAGCTGCACTGGCTTTATGCATTTCTACCAGAAAGAAAATATTTATACGCGCAACGACACATCTGAAGTGATCAGAGGGATGTGTATATGTGTGTGTGTTGCATCCCACACAATGGTCCACGGGGCCCTCCCTGTGGTCGGCTGGAGACATCGAACGATTGGCAGCTAACGTATGTCAGTGGCCTTTATGCTGTCGGTTTCTATCCCGATTGCCCGACTGAGTGCTGGAGGTGTAGGCACTTCGAATGCTTGTGGCAGGTTAGCCCTGGGTTCCTCTCCCTGTCTCATTTCTTCTTTCTATTACAAGGCTTTATTAAAATAAATTCACACGGTTGTACGCAAGTGAAGCCCCAAAGTTTTCCTTTGGTTGCCGTAATTGATGATGAGTACTCAGCTAGAGTTTCACGTTTGTTACAGTCCGTCACTAGCACATAATCTTGACGACACCGGGATTTTCACCCGAGGTATCTGATGCTCGAGGTGAGTGTATTGGCACTCCTCGTCGAGTGCTAGCTGGTACCGTACTAATAACATGCTCAACCCGCATCCCGGTAATACCCAAGAACGTACACTACTTTTGATCTCTAATGAGAGAGAAACCCAGAATAAGTTTTATCCTTACTGTACCTATTAAACAGAATAATCACACAAGGAATGCTCAAACGGGCAACGCGAAGAAAAAGATAAATACTTTGTTGTAGTTGCTCTTCGTCGTCAGCTTACTTACATTTGGACTTATTTTGTTACCTGAAGTAAACAACAACGAAACTACCACGAAGTGGATTGAGTTTGAGTTTAGGCTTATATTACTTGAGTATACAACAATGAGGAGCTTTACCGTATCCCCTAAGGTATTGGTGTCAATGCCTGCTGGACCTCTACGCACGATCGCCCATTTGGTGGGTCCACACTTCCAGTCACCTATTAAAGCGTTTACGTCAAACTTATGAACAGATGGCTGCACTAGGAGTGAAACAAGCGATGCTACCATCCATATCAGGAAGACGGCAACTATAACTAAATTATTTCATGACTTTAATGGAGTGCGCATGGAATACACACTCATCATAAGCTTCAAAGGGCCAGGCTCTAAGCAGTGATTTCCACAGTAAAACTAATAATAATTAGTAGTTCCACTCGCGAAACGTAAACTTACTGAGCAGCCTGTTTGAATTAACTTAAAGTACCCATTTTTCAAAAGAGTATGAAGCCCCACGCACATGTATCGTGGTCCAGAGCATTTGTTGAACGGGGGCACACTCAGACAGTGTACGAAGTAAACATAGGACCGAAGCGCATCTAGAATACAGGAAGTACTGGAGTGCTTTCATGGCTCGTTTACACACAACTCAGTCCACATCCAGTACGGTATGCTCGACGACATCAAAACGTATCATTGGTAGATTCTCAGGGAAAGCGTTATGGCCAAGGGACTAGTTAACCCTAAGATCGGGGAACCTTCATATTCGAAAAAATGCGGTGTGTGAGGCAGCTGATCAATTTAGTGTTTGCATAAATAGTTAGTCGGACAGTCAGCGATGATATACACTTACCTTTCGGTCGCCCGCCGGCGTCACAGGATCGACTCCTTCTACGACCACATCCCCAAATCCTGGCTTGTCCATAATGGCCAAGTAATGGCCACATTTTTCTATCATTACTTCGATTGCTGAACGGACTAATCGCGCAGGGGGGCGCTGGGTTGGCGCGATCGACTCTACGGTGAATATGCAATGTGAGGAATCAACCCCAACAAACACAGCGTCATCACGGAACTGTGGATGTCGCATATGTTCCCGTGATCCATTATCCAATCGAGCATTGAGTACGTAGGCTCGTTCTGTCTTCGGATCGATCTGAAACGAAAGACACAACTTTACAGGACCTGGTTGTAGATGAAACGCTGTCATGTCATACCTTACAATCCAAGCATCGACCGGGGAACCGTTGGGAAGAATCGGTGGTACAAAACATGTTTCGTTTTCATAGGAATTGAGGTTACCACAGCAAATCGCTGAGCGGTAATACAGATTTTTGGCTCCCAGTGACATACTGTCAACAGTTCAGGGAGAAAATAGATTGCAAAGTGGAACTTCCTCGTGCGGTTTCGTCAGTTGCAAAATACGTAGCACAACTCAAAAGCAGCGGCCAAGCATGCAGCATTTAAACTCCGGTGTGCTGCCACTTACACGTTTCTGACCACTTTTGAAAACCAACCATTGGCTAATCTGATGAGATAGACTGGATGCTGCGTGGCCAAGATGAAGTATAGCTCAGTGCTTTACTGAGGTACATAAATTGTCGCAATGCCATGAATTATGGTATAACTTTGGCTCACGGAGTTTAAAATGGCTCAAACGCGATATTACTAACCGGAAGGTTCGTGGTTCGAACCCAACTTCAATATCTCGACTGCTTCTGTCTAGGCCTGGGCAACTTGGTAGGAGCTTTGCTCTCACACTTCCTTCGGGTGGTATGGCAGCTAGGCACCGAAAGAGTTACAGCTGGACGATTGTTATTATTACTTGGTTCATCCATATCTAGTGGTCCACTCAATCACTGCAACAATCAGCCAGTACCGTCGGACCACACCGAGAACCGGTTGTCACTTCCGTGAGAATCAGGTTCTATTCAAATCCCATAGACGAGTTACCCAGTTAGGAAGCCAGATATCCACGATCACGAGGTAATGAGCAGTCCACACATAAAGGATTCGTTCTTTTGAGAGTTTTTGAAAGTGAGAAATGATGGGATTAGTAAAAATGATATCACCGACAGATAAACACAAAACAAACTATTCAATACCGAAGTGGCTGTAACACCAAGCGACGATGTGGATGCATCAACTACACAGAGTGGATACAGAAGTTCGAGTGCAAAGTTGGGGGTATGTTCTGGTCGACAACAAAACCTGGTGGTAACTGGAACCTCCGTTTAATCTTTTCCTTAAGGACGTTACTGACAAGGTTGCTGAAAACCCCATTTCCACGACCGGTTACGCTCTTCAGCCCATAAGGTAGGCGTGGTCTCCTGGTTTCCGTTAACACCATGTTCTACTTGACTATATTTGTAGTGTGGGCCTTGGGTGGTCGTTCGCATGCACCACGGATTTGACCTGTTCGGTTTGGCAACTACAAGCCACAAAAACCGTACGCCCGGTCTTATCCCAACGGATTACTACCGAGTACATGGCGTTTGACCGGTTGCAAGCGCGGCTCAGCATCAACCCCAGGCGGCATTACCTGTTGTGTGTCTGGGTACGTTGGCCTAGTTCGGTGTGGCAGGCCAAACCGGAAAAAGTTGCCCGTAAGACGTGTTTGTCAGACAGAATACATGAACCCAACTCCACTTCACTGAGTCGCAAAACAAAAAGTGCAAGCTCACGATCAATCGCGCTACACCTATCCGAGATCAAACATCAAAGAGGAAATAAAAGTGCATTCCATGCCGCCCGTATTACACCTAAAAATCTGGGAACGTAAAACAGAAACACTCCAAGCGGAACACAATAAACCGAGACATAAACTCGATTTGAACGGATATCCCGATTTGCTCATTAAGAAACACACAAGGTGGAGGGCGGAAGCATAGTCCCCTAGACGTGACATTATCATTAATCTACCGTTGGAAATGGACGGCGTCAACGAGATCACGCAATGTCGTCTGACAGCTATGATACAGAAGGCATATTATGCAGCCAGACCCGTTTTCGTTCACAGGAAAGATCGTGCCCTGTGCCACCAGTAAAAATCGCATCATTTCAGTCCGCCAAACCCGTCCAAATTATCTAACATTTCATTTGTGGTTGCGAGGCCAGCTGATTGAGAAACAGCATCACATCGATCTGTTGATTGCATTTAATGTCGAGTTCGGCGCTGCAAACAGCACGGTCCTGAAATTTGCTGAGGATATTGCTACTCGCCAGTGGAGGCTGGATTTGTGTACACACTGCAGCGGTTAACTTCAGAGCAAGACTTTGATATGGCTTTACTTTATTTACTGTTGTAATATGTAGTACGCACCTGGTGAGACAGCAAAATAAATCTGTAGAGTCGTGCACTAATGTGTTGTATCTTCATCTTCGGCGGACAGTTAGATTCAGAAAATTCGACTGCGGTTAGTGGACCGAACGAAAGCTAGTGCAACCTATGAACTTGCTTTGGAGAACGAGCAGTCCAGATACATGGCCATAAATGACACCAACGAAATCTTCATCGGTGTGTCAACCTATTGGACCGTGTTCGCAAGTAAGTTATATGTACTTTAACATAGATTTATGATGTCTTAGCATGATGACAGTCAAAAAAGCCAGCTATGCTGGATATGCCAACGACAAGACTGCTTTGGACAATTTGTGTGACAATCAATCCGTAGTGTTCAATAATGACATGAACCGATTTTTTACCGACTGCTCTTACGTATGTAGTGTTCTCATCAACAGTACCAGACGTGAATGTTCTTTTGTGTGACCAACTATCTCTAAAGGGGAGAGAAGGCATATGCGGCTGCATCGTCATGGCTTGTTGATGAAAGTATTCGCGTGGTTGAAACTTTCGAACCCAATCAGTGTTTCTGAACATAAGACACACGGAACCATCCGTATCACCATCAACATAGGCAATGAAGGTCGACACCGAAAATACAGCTTATGTCTACCACAGGTCTCCTTCGTTTGGAGTGGCAGTGTATTCGAGGGTGACGAAATGGGCAACCATAGTGCGGTTAAAAAATTGATGGATTTATGTTGAGTTGTGTTAAAGCGACATCGATACAGGGAAACTCATTGAAATTAATTCCCGGGAACAGTTCGTACAGCTTCACGACAAAGTGTTCAGGCTCCGGCAGTTCACTGTCTTGGTCGGAGGCTTCTGGAATCGTACCATAATTGTCATAATGGTCTTACCCACAGAAAAACCTCCTAGTCCCTTGGAAGTGCGGAATAGGAAGAAAGCGAAGGCCCCGTGATTCCGCTTGAGTTTGCTCGTTTCGTTTGGTTTACCACGGACGTTCGCCACATACGATACCTCTTCGTTAATGATACAAAACAAGTATGGATGTCTCCTGATTACCTTCTAACCGACACCAATCGGACTGCCAGCCATCAACAGAAACGTGGAACGTGAACACGGAACTCCTCTCAGCCTCATAAGTGCCCACGACCTTCCACTTTCTCTCTTCAAGGATGGCGACGGATTCCTTAGTCAGTACCTGCCTAACCTGTTTAGGTCTCTCTGGGAGAAACAGAACGACCCAAACAACTGGGGTGAATCGATAGTACTGCCCATTTTAAAAAGGGTGCTCGCAGTGAACGTAGTAACCACGGAGGTGTTGGTTTGACTCAGAGTAACAAGGATCCTGGCGTCACTGATTCTTCTTGTTCTTGCGGTGGTACGCGAATCCTTGACCAGTGAGTATCAAGCAGGATTTCGGCCGGGTAGAGCAATCAGATGCACTCCGTCAGGTGTTAGACCAACACAGGACCCAAAATCTTGCTGTTCCTTGACTTCAAGGGCACATTCGATTCTGTCGATCGGTCAGTGCCGTTAACCGCACATGCTCAATATGGCATACCTCAGAATGTTAGGAACATAATCCGGTTCCTATATTCGCATACTACTGGGTGCGTAGGTGTATGTTGAACTTTCCGAAAGCTCTCCCGCAAAAAGTGATGTCCGAAAAGAATGTACACTCTTCCTGTTCTTGTTCAACTTCGTCATCAATGAAGTAATGAGCAGAACTCAGGAAAGTCTTCAAAACCCCGGCGTTCAGATTGCTGCTGGTGAGAACCTTGTCGATCTGGAGTACGGAGACGATATCATACTCATCTTCGAAGACAAAGGTAAAGAGCAAGCCATGTGGAATAAACCAGCCACCGTTATAACAATCTTTCGGCATGCACCTTGTACCATCAAGGAGCAAAGTCGTGCTCCAGAACGTACAGTGGGTTTCAAGAGTTGTGTGTACTAGGCAACAGTAAAAACTGCTGTATGGCTGCGAGACGTGTCCTATGTGGACAGATGATAGTATGACAGTGTCATGACTATATAACCCCCCATACATTTGCATAACTCATTAACTCGTGA